AAATAGAGTATTGTTATTGTGTTAGAGGTTTGGTCTGAGAAGTGGGTTTAAGTTTAATATATTGAAGATTGTGTTCACAATCTTGGTGAGTTAGATAGCCTTTAAAAATTTTAGCTTTGGAGTAATCAGGAGCATATCTTGTCTCTTGGACGAAAACACAAGGAATACTTTTGATTTTGCAAATATAGCATATATGATAATATTGAGAATGTAGAACAATTTTAACCGGTTTTGGGTCTGTATGAAGATTGGAGGGTTGAATTTGGGAGGATAGCTGAAGACTTTGTTATTGTTTAGAGATAGGAAATTTGGGAAGTGTTTCAGAGATTTTGTTAAATCGATTAACAGAAATAATTGTAGTTGGAGAAGTTTTCATTGCTGTGGAGCTAGTAGATTGATTAGTTGGTTTAGAATATTTGATTTGATAATATTTAGAAGTAAAATTTGTATGGTATTTGCCACAAAGACAAGTAGTTAGAGCTGGTTGAGTTGGCATTTTAAAATAGTAATGTTGTTTGTTAAGTTTACAAGTAAGAGGATTAACATCTTTAAATAAAATACATAAAGTAGTTGGGTTTGTATCCTTGGTACCAATACCAAAGCATTCTGAATATTTATTGTAGAAGTAGTCGAGATCATGGAAATTGGCCTCTTCTGTTGTTAAGGTAGGCATTTTGGTAGGTTAATATAGCAAAAGTATCAAAGAGGGAAAGGAGAGCTTCACGATATAGTAAAATTTATTTCATGTAACATTGCACTATCTATATAACTTTTGTAGCTGGTGTGGCTATGGCTGATGTGGCTAATGTGGCTGGTGTGGCTTGTAGTACAAAGTATGGCTTGTATAACTAGGATAAATTTGGTAGTAAGCTTGTACGGTTTTATGTAATTTTAAATAAATTATGGATTTATAATTATTTATTTGTGTTAAATTAATTAGAAATTAAAAAGAAAATTATTATAAAGAATTATTAATTGAAGGAACTACTAATTTTAGTTGTTCCAAAACGTGTTTAGATCCGAAATTAGATGGGGGTAGGGAGAAAAAGAAAAAAGGAGAAAAAATTTTTTTTAAAGAATTTTAAAGCAGAGTATATAGAAAGTTTTTACTATAAATTAGTCAAATTTGGTCTGTTTTTGATATTTTTTATGTCAAAATGAAGCTGGGGAAGAGCTAGAGAGCCCGGTCTCTAAAAAAGAGCAGGTTTCCTTAGCTTAATTTAAGTTAGAAAGCAGTGTATCTATTTAAACCGAATATTATATATTTAATTAAGAATTAACCTGAGGGTTGTAAAAATCAAGAGTTATATGTAATTTGGCCTTTAAAATAAGTTTAATTATTTAGAAAAAGTAGCTTTAGTTAATAAAATTAAGAAAAAATTGAATTTTTGTTTTATTTAAATTTGGTACAAGTGATCATTGGGAAGAGTTAGTGAATTGGTCGATCCACTCCTGTACTAATTTACATCTTTTGACCCAATTTCTTCATAGATTTTCTTTATCTATCTTTTCCAAAGCCTTACTATGAAGTCTCTTGCTTGTTTATTTGATATGAAGCTAGGTCGTATTTTATCAAAATGTTTTTTTGTAATTAGACCTCTTATCCATCTCTCTCGTCTTTGCAACTCTTCAGCTAAACTTCCTTTTTCAATCATGATTAAGATCTCTTCTTTCTTTTTATCTATATCTTGCAATTCTACTATTTTTTTAAGAGTTAACAAAACTTCTTACTTTTCTATATCTTGTATTAAGTTTATTGAAACCTTACAGCTTACCAAATGTTCTATATTTTCTGTTTTCTTTTTATATATAATGCATTTATCTGTTTTGTATAAGTTTGGCTTTCTTCAATTAAGCTTTTCAAATACTGGCAGAACATTGTTTATACACTTTACTTTGAAGAGCTATATAGTATTTAATCTATTTGTATAATTTCGCTACTTTTTAGGATTTTATAAAAAATTGAAGAGTTGTTCTTTCTTGATATGTTACATTCTGACTATTATATGCAAAAGTCTATTCTACTTTATTTATAACTTTGCCAAACAATTTAACAAAAGACTGTAAAGACTTTTCTATAACTTTATCTTCCCATTTGTATCTTAGTTTAAATTTTCTTGTGTCTAATATTATAGGGTTTAAAAGCTCTGTAAAATATACACCTTCTTTGGCTTTAAGATCTGCCAAATCATTAAATATATTTTCTAAATAACCCTTAATTTTTGTAAGATACAGCTTTAGTTGCTTTGTTTTAATTATTTTAACTATTGTTGTGACCAAATCTCTATTCTTGAACTTGAACTACTGTCTTGCTTTATTTGCCTCTAGATCTTTCTTGATTGCAAATATAGCTACACTACTATTTATTTTTATCTCCACTTCTTTTTCTTTAAGGGTTACTAGTAGTGCTACCAAAATTGCTACTAACTCTGCTCTTGTTGATGAAAACTATTTTTTAGTACTATATACTATTTGGCATATAATTTGTCTTTTTAATATTATTTGTACTATTCTGTATCCCATAACCATTCTATCACTAACCTCTGATGTTTCGAGTGAGCCATCTATATAAAATAAAAATCTATCTATATTTTTATTTTGCTCTAAAATTTCTACTAATCTATTTATAAGTACTTTATTTTCAACCACTTTATCTATCAAATGTATTTTTTATCTTAAACAGTTTATTAAAGGTACTTCTTTTTTTCTAGCTAAATGTAACTCTTTTATAGTTACTATTATCCTATCTATTTTCTTACTTGAAGTTTTTTCTAGAGACTGTATACCAAAGATTATTTGTAGACAAATTTCTGTTTTTTGTACTAAGTTTGAGATATCTCTTAGTTTTTTATATTTTACTAACAAAGGTACTTAATTTTTGATATATTTTAATATTTTTAATTTTCCTTTTAATGTATATCTGGCTTCTCTGTCTCTATATAACTTTCTACTTCAGCATATTTCTTTTCCTTTTCTCTAATTCTTCCAATTCTAAACTATTTATAGTCTTTATCCCATATAACTCATTCTTTATATCTTTTATTCTCTTTAACTATTTTTGGTTTTATTTTGGGTATGTTTGGGTTATCTGTCTCAAGTTTGTATATAGGTTTGACTTCTTTTGTTGCTGGATTCTTGATTATTTCTCTTTTTAATATATCAAACCATTTTGTTTTTTTTCTTTTTAAATCAAGACCATTTGATAGTTTTATTTATTTCTATATACATATTGATTTTCTATCTAACGTTAATAGCTGTGATGTTAACTATACTCCAAATTTACTTGTGTTCATTTCTTCATAAAAAAGCTAATCTTTTTTTAAGATTCTTGCAATTTCGAGATTCTTTGTTATTTGGGGAAGGTTCAGGTTCCAACTTCTTGTATAATCACTTTTTTTTATTATAAAACCTAAAGATTTTACTTATAAGATTTGCATACCCAAGTTTTTTACTTTTAATTTTCTTTTTTCTAAGAGCTTATAATTTGTTAAGATACATTTGGTTGAATCTGCTTTAAGCTGTCCCTGTTTTAACCTTATTACTATTGACTTTTTTAGAATACCACCTGTGTTTAGTCTTATTGTAAGTTCTGAAAAATAATACTTTATGTATCTATTCCAAAGGCTTTTAAAGTTTACTATCTCTGGGTGTTTTGTTATTACATTTGCTGCTGTGAATAGCATTGACATTTTCCACTTTGTAAGATATAACATAGGTTAATGTATTCTGTCACACTAAGCTCTAGTTAGGCAAAATAGCATAAGTCTATATTCTAATATAGGTATAAGGACTGTATTGTTTATATATGCTATCTAACTAAGTGACATTTTCTTATATTTAAGTAAGCCTGTTATCTTGCTTACTTCCTTTTTTGCCTTATATATATCTAACTTTTGCTAGTTTTTGATTGAAATCCAAACTTGCAGAAATTGTATTGTATCTTTTGGCTCCTTGGCTAAAATCTTTATTTTTGGGTTTCCTATTCATATAAAAAGATCCTCTCCTACTTCCTTTTTTTCTGGCTTTGCTACTACTAGCTTTGTCTTGTTTGGATTTATTTTAATATCATTTAGTTTATAAAATTCATTTGTTAAATTGATTGTTTCTTGCATACTTTTTTGGTCGAATGAAACCTACGTTATGTCATCCACATATGCTAATACTCCAATTTGTATCTTTTTATCCTCATCTTTTTTGTTAAAGTCTGTGCTATTATAATGTATTTTATATCCTAATTTTGCATCAGAGTAGTAGGTTGTAAAACATCCTCCAAACCAAAGGTAATAGAACCTCTCCTTGATCTATTCCATCTTCTGCTTCAAAGAACTCTGTACTGCTATATTCTGTTATGATGCTTAGTTTTCTATTTTCATATAGATATACTATGAAATCTACTAGCTTTAATGAAAGTTTTAGCTTTTCTAGAGCTTTTCTCAGAGCTATCATACTCATTGGATTAAAGGCTTTTTTCATATCCTGATACTAAAGATAAGCACCATGCATATGAATGCATGCATATATGCATGTACATGATTTATACAATTTTATACTAATATGCCTATACAAGATTAATATAACTATCTCTTTTACAGATTAAATATTTTCTTTTATTTTTTTTTTACTATGATCAGTTTTATAAATAAATTAGTTATTTTATAGTAATCTATGTATTTTATAATACGTCACATCTATATTTTATGAATAACAGCAATTTTATGATACATCACATCTATATTTTATGAATAACAGCATTTTTTCAAAATTGTCATAAGTGTACAAAGAATTATATTAAGACAAATATAAAAAATAGCAAAGAAAAGACTGTACAAATTGCTTTATTATAATTAGTTTTTTCAATTTATGTAAATTACATTATAATTCAATATTGATTAATTGTAATATAATCGCCATTCAAATAATAATTATTAATGATCATAGTACCTTGCCCATTATTAGATGCATTTTGCAAACCAGATTTTGATGACCGCAACAGCCTTTTTCTACCAAGAGTTGGATTTTTTTTGGTCACATTGACGTAAAGAGACAAATTCAGCTTTGTACCATTTTTTAAAGAGCTACGAAATTCGGAATATACTGTGCTTTTTTGTTGCATATGGGAATCCAGATAGTTATCAGGCCTCTAAAATAAAATAAATTTATAAGTTTAAATGTAATTTAAAACAAATAAATAAAATTAAAAATTTTACCAGATTCTGATTTTTATTTAAAGAATCATCAACGACATCATTATCTTCATTATTTTGAGATTCCAGAAGATCAACAATATTATTATCTTCATTATTTTGAGATTCTGGAAGATCAACAACATCAATTAATGTAGACAATGTATCCTTTTTTTGCTGCTCACTTGGCCGTGAATATATACGATAAGATGATTCGCTTTTGTGACCGGTTATTGACATTGAAGTAACAATCGGGATGCCTTCACGAAATAAGTGTGTAATTGGTGTAGTTCATCCCGAATGATTAACGATATTATGGTCTTTGAGGTTTATCCCAACTTGAGAACAAATATTTTTCATAAAATTACTGCACAAGTTTAACCCCAATTTAGCATCAAGATACTATTTACTATTTTCGTATTCTATATTAAATAATTGTAAGTTATATATGTAATTTATTAATTAAAAACTCGTACAAAAATTTGCCTAAACCTGCATAACTAAAAAATTTATTTCTACAGTAATTTATTAAGATAACCTATTTT